TACCCCTCAGAGAGAGTCATAACAACTCTCACAACATGTTTTTCTTCTATTTGTCCTTTCCTCTTGAGTGCTGACATGATAAAATTATTGTTGCTTAAACTCACTCAATTTACAGTCTGTAATGAAATAGTCAATATTCCCGTAGTCATGATAGATTTTTAATATATCGCACGTGGGCTGTTAAGAGGCCAGCCTTTCCTTTTTGAGGGGATAGGGGGAGGGGGGGGGGTGGTTAAGAAAGAAATCTTTCAAACAGACTTGGAACAACCAAATAATTTATTCTTGCACAGAGTTGAGAGTCTTATATTGAAAAATAAGGAAAACATCTGCCACAGTAGTACGTTTGGGAAAAAAAATCTGGGCCCAAACCTAGCAACCGGGCCCTTCCCTCCCCTCCTCCCATACACACATAAATCACCCCGTGCCCGTCGATGATTTTATACTATAACGAGCTGAGTATAAAATAAAGATGTATGTAAAGCTAGGTTGTCATTGAAAATATATTGTTTCCAATAATATATTAAGATGAAAACTGCACATAAATACAGGAGTTTTGAAACTAGCAAACTAAAACCGAACAAGTACAAATTGCCCGCCAAAACGCGCTTTAATGCAAATGGCGATGCTTTGTGCTTTGTCCGCTCTTTACGTCCGAGGATACTAGTACTTTTAGGATAAAGCAAAAAAGGTATATCCCTTTTTCACTGATTCTGCTTAGCCCTTAAACTATTAGTAGCTCCTTCTTCAAGGAGATAAGCCTGCTGCAAAGGACAATATAGACAATGCCTTATAATTATTCAAGCTATAATTGTCTGCGAGTGCTTACCTTGTAATTTCGAAGAATCTTCAAGACCAGTACTATCGCCGAGCCATGTCTGTACGTCGTAAACACGAGTCTCTACCGCCACGGCTAATACTTGAGAGACGATTCCAATTGAAGAAATCAATATCGAGGCAAGAAAACATCGAGAAGAAGGTACAAACGGCGCTTTACGATTAGCTTCAAATCGTTATTTTTGCGCGCGCGTTTATCCAACGATGATTTGATCCAAGACCAGTGATTGGTTCAAGCGTTACACGTGATCTTATCAATAACTTATTTACGTGATCGAGACAAATCATTGGTTGAGCAAAACGAATGATCCATGTATGTATGAGATCAGCGTGACCAGGTCACGGTGCTGCACAACAGGCTCTTTAGTTTTACGAAATGTGACTTTAATACAGATGACCCGGGACAGCTGAAAAGATCCTGACAAAGTGTCAATAATGTTGCTGAACGAGCAGAGGTTGATGAAGACGACGACACAGAAGATAATAATTGGATTGTAGCTTTGGTGTTGAATCAATATTGATAGTTGCCGCTTGATCGTAGCATAAGGATTTTGACAGCTAAACCGCTTGAGATATAGATCAGTCAGTACCCGATCATTGTAGCTTTTTATTTGCTCGATATTTGTGGTTTTGTGCCTTTCTTAATTTGCAACGCTGAAACGAATCGGTAAACTTTGTGTGAGTATTTTTACTCAGTTGTCTGCTTCACAGCCAAGTGACTCGAAATAAGGTGTTAATTTTACTCACTATAAAGGGTAAAAGGATTTACCTTACTCAGCGAGTAAAGGGTTTACTCGCATGTTTTGATCATAGTCATTTTACTCAGAATAGTGAGTTGTTATAACTCTCTCTGAGGGGTAAAAAAAGCTCACTCATATTGTGAGTAATTTTACTCAATAAAATGAGTAAAATGAGACACTTTACTCAAAATTGAGTTACGTTAACTCATTTGTAAAAATGCTTTTTTTACTGTGCATTACGAATTATTTAAGTGACAGACAACAACGTGTTAGGTTGAGTAGACAGTACTCTTCTATGAAAACTATAGTGAAGGGTGTCTTCCAGGGATCAATTTTGGGTCCCATTATTTTTAATATTTTCATGAATGACCTGTCTTATGCTATAGATGAATGCACACTATTCACGTACGCCGATGACACTCAACTGTTTAGGTCTGCGGAAAATATCCACCAGGTTGAACATGCCATTAATGCCGATCTGAAAAAGGTTGATGTGTGGTATGAATTCAATCAAACAAGAGAAATCATTCAAAATATCAAGCAACTACTTTTGGAGGGGTCGAGAGAAATCCTGTGTTGATCTGTGAAGGAACCATTATCCCTGTTCAGACGATCTGGAACTCCTTGGCGTCACTCCCGATAATATGCTTAAATTTGAGGGCCAGATGCGTAAAATCTGTCGCAAAGTTAGTCAACAGGTTGCTGTTCTCAATCGTCTGAAGAAAATATTTCCTTTTGAATTGAGGACAGATATATATCGTGCTTTCATTGCACCGCCTTTTAATTACTGTTCAGAGCCGTGGCATCACTGTGGCAAAAGAGGTTCCGGCAAACCTAAAAAAATCAATGAACAAGCTCTTCGCTTTGTGACCCGTGACAAGTCAACCACGTACGAGACGTTGCTTAGACAACTAAACCTGATGTCCGCACTTAATCAAATAATTTTTAATGAATGGCCACCGGTGTTTACAAAGCTATCCATGGGTATAAAGTCCCGAAAGGAATAGGAGAGCTATTGCATGAACGATCAACTAATTATAATCTTAGAGGAAAACACATCCTCGAGCTGCCCAAAGTATAACCACCTATGAACTTAAATCGTAGCGTTATACTGCAGCTAAGATTTGGAACGCTCTTCCCAGTGTCTTCCGGATCAGTTTCGTGCCGCTAATAAAATCGGAACATTTAAGAACTTGATGTCAAAGTTGGATTTCTCAAATTTTACATTTTAATCGCACAAGTAGATGTAAATACACTTTGCTTAGCTTTTATAACATGATGTAATAATCTCGTGATCTACTCTCTGTTTTAATAATTTTTAATTGTGAATATATTTTTATATACTGTAGGTTTTTAATGAGAAATCTTCTTTCCTCAGTTTTCTTTTATTATTATTATTATTATTATTCTCATTATTATTTTATTTATTTATTTTTCTTGGCATGACTGTAAAGTAGCTAATTAGCTAAGAACATTGACCACGTTAAATAAAGGTTATTGTATTGTATTTATTGTTGTCAGCGGTCAGCGAGCAAGATGGTAAGATCGACGCGTTTTTGATTTAGCGTTGAAATCTCTTAATTTTTGCCTCTTTTCGTGGCGGTTTTTTATTTTTTCGTTGTTTTCGTAAAATTATGGCTGTGTACGTTACAGGTGAGGAGTTAGAGAAGATCTTATTATCGAAAATTAAACCTATCGAAAACTCGCTGAACTTTAATGGCGACGGTTTCAACAAGTTGCTACGTCGGGTGGAGACGCTCGAGAAGACAGCTACTAATTTATTTTATTCCAATCGTAGTCTGACTGAACTAGAGGATGTTATTAATAATAACCTAAAATTTTTCTCTAACTGGATTATGGCAAACCTGCTCTCATTAAATGCCGACAAGGCAAATTTCATTATTTTTCACCCCCCTCAAAAGTCAACAAGTCACGTAGTCAAATTATTAATTGCCAAAAGGGAGATTAAACAAGAAAAATTTATTAAATATTTAGGATTACATATTGACTCACACCTTAGTTGGAAGTTCCGCATTTTGCATATTAAGCGCTGTATTGGAATACTTTCTAAAATTAAGTACTTTGTTAGCCAACAAGTCCTTGTTCGTATACTACACACTTATTGATCCGTTTTTTACTTATAGCTTAATTAGCTGGGAAAATACATATCCAACTTCTCTACAGCCTCTTACTATTTTACTGAAAAAAGCAGTTAGAATAATAACCTTTTTTGATTTTAACTCTCATTCTAGTCCTCTCTTTCGCAAGTCGTGGCTACTTATATTAAAGGATTTAATATATTTAGACAGTGCTCTTTTTGTGCATTATAGACTTCCACGTACTTTCAATAATTTCTTTAAAAGCATTAATAAAGTATATCAATATGCAACAAGACTGGCCTCTAAGAAGTCTTATTATTTACCGAAAGCTAGGGTGAATTACGGAATATTTAATATCCGTTTCAGTGGGCTTACTCTGGAATGCTATTGAAGATGATCTAAAACCAGCGAGTCGTTTTCGCTTTAAAAAGCTTTTAAAAGAATCTGTCATCTCCAAATATTGATTGGTGTACTTTATATGCAGCTTATTGTGTGCACAGCCGTTGTTTTGTCTTACTTCTTTGTTTATTCGTTTGTGTATTTGTTTATTTATTACAGCTGAAATATTTTTTCTTTGTGTGTTTTTGTGTGTATTTGTTTATTAATAACAACTTTGATATTAGTTACTTTCCCGCATGGCCCAGCCACTCAGCGCGATTTACTTTTGCTATTTCTGATTGGCTGTGCTCTTTCTTTCACAATTATTTACTTTTTATGACTCTACACTTTTGTATCAAGAGCACAATAAAGATTGTTGTGTGTTGTTGTGTACAAGAGTGCGCAGAATACCCGTAATGGCCGCACGAAGTTTCGATGAATACGCTCTGAATGTTGAGTTCACTATTTTACACTTCAAATTTACCTTTTGGTTTGATCCCATTTGCGAGATGTTTAAATCTGAAATATACTTAATTCCAGGCTTTCTACATAAACACAGTGGAGCGATGGGTTAACCTGGTGTCAGACTACGTGATTTTCGAATAATCTTTTTTTCCATACGTACATCTTTTAGGAAAAGATGTAGGCTTATGTTATCTGTTTATTTACCGAACATTTAGCAAATCCGCGGAGAACATTGGCGATGAATTAGGAGAGAGTAATGATGCCCGTTTATAGAAATTTTGCTGATGTATTCTTCCTTTGAGTTTTGTGTCTGGAATATGCCCAATTTTGGAGATAACTTTATTAGACGTGCGTTCATAAAAGCAAAATCAAAATTGATTGCCTCTGCTTTCGATTCGATTAACAATGCAGAACTTGGTATCTTCAGTTAATTCATTCTTCTTTTAAGCTAACAGTTTTCTTTCTTTTCTGACCCACAGCTTATTCACCGAGGCTTTTATTTGTCAATCGAAAGGATATTAGAAAAGTTTGGACGAGTAGCAAGAACCAAAATGAAACTATAATTGTTGACGGTTTGGACGATGCCATCGCAGTGGACTTTCATTATACAAAGGGATTTATATTTTGGACCGACGCTAGCTTGAAAAAAATCAAGCGAATTCGCGTCTCTACAGGAGAAATCGAGGATGTTGTTTCGGTGGGTTTGGTTAAACCCGAAGGACTCGCTGTAGATTGGGTTGCAAGAAAACTGTATTGGACCGATCGTAGAGTTTCTGAATGGGAAACAAGTAGAATAGAGGTCGCGAATTTAGATGGATCTAATCGTAAAGTTCTCTTTTGGAAAGACTTGGGTCGTCCAAGGGCAATTGCTGTCGATCCGTTATTGGGGTAAGTGTGACTAATTTTTCTATTGCTTTATTAAATACATCGAGTTTGGTTGATTGACTATACTTCATGCTGAAATATTCTGCGATTTGCGGAATAGTACTAGTGTTCATGAAATGCTGCTTATGATTTCGAGAAAGGTTTTCCAATGGCTTTCACTTTAAAAATTTTACTCACTATAAAGGGTAAAAGGATTTACCTTACTCAGCGAGTAAAGGGTTTACTCGCATGTTTTGATCATAGTCATTTTACTCAGAATAGTGAGTTGTTATAACTCTCTCTGAGGGGTAAAAAAAGCTCACTCATATTGTGAGTAATTTTACTCAATAAAATGAGTAAAATGAGACACTTTACTCAAAATTGAGTTACGTTAACTCATTTGTAAAAATGCTTTTTTTACTGTGCATTACGAATTATTTAAGTGACAGACAACAACGTGTTAGGTTGAGTAGACAGTACTCTTCTATGAAAACTATAGTGAAGGGTGTCTTCCAGGGATCAATTTTGGGTCCCATTATTTTTAATATTTTCATGAATGACCTGTCTTATGCTATAGATGAATGCACACTATTCACGTACGCCGATGACACTCAACTGTTTAGGTCTGCGGAAAATATCCACCAGGTTGAACATGCCATTAATGCCGATCTGAAAAAGGTTGATGTGTGGTATGAATTCAATCAAACAAGAGAAATCATTCAAAATATCAAGCAACTACTTTTGGAGGGGTCGAGAGAAATCCTGTGTTGATCTGTGAAGGAACCATTATCCCTGTTCAGACGATCTGGAACTCCTTGGCGTCACTCCCGATAATATGCTTAAATTTGAGGGCCAGATGCGTAAAATCTGTCGCAAAGTTAGTCAACAGGTTGCTGTTCTCAATCGTCTGAAGAAAATATTTCCTTTTGAATTGAGGACAGATATATATCGTGCTTTCATTGCACCGCCTTTTAATTACTGTTCAGAGCCGTGGCATCACTGTGGCAAAAGAGGTTCCGGCAAACCTAAAAAAATCAATGAACAAGCTCTTCGCTTTGTGACCCGTGACAAGTCAACCACGTACGAGACGTTGCTTAGACAACTAAACCTGATGTCCGCACTTAATCAAATAATTTTTAATGAATGGCCACCGGTGTTTACAAAGCTATCCATGGGTATAAAGTCCCGAAAGGAATAGGAGAGCTATTGCATGAACGATCAACTAATTATAATCTTAGAGGAAAACACATCCTCGAGCTGCCCAAAGTATAACCACCTATGAACTTAAATCGTAGCGTTATACTGCAGCTAAGATTTGGAACGCTCTTCCCAGTGTCTTCCGGATCAGTTTCGTGCCGCTAATAAAATCGGAACATTTAAGAACTTGATGTCAAAGTTGGATTTCTCAAATTTTACATTTTAATCGCACAAGTAGATGTAAATACACTTTGCTTAGCTTTTATAACATGATGTAATAATCTCGTGATCTACTCTCTGTTTTAATAATTTTTAATTGTGAATATATTTTTATATACTGTAGGTTTTTAATGAGAAATCTTCTTTCCTCAGTTTTCTTTTATTATTATTATTATTATTATTCTCATTATTATTTTATTTATTTATTTTTCTTGGCATGACTGTAAAGTAGCTAATTAGCTAAGAACATTGACCACGTTAAATAAAGGTTATTGTATTGTATTTATTGTTGTCAGCGGTCAGCGAGCAAGATGGTAAGATCGACGCGTTTTTGATTTAGCGTTGAAATCTCTTAATTTTTGCCTCTTTTCGTGGCGGTTTTTTATTTTTTCGTTGTTTTCGTAAAATTATGGCTGTGTACGTTACAGGTGAGGAGTTAGAGAAGATCTTATTATCGAAAATTAAACCTATCGAAAACTCGCTGAACTTTAATGGCGACGGTTTCAACAAGTTGCTACGTCGGGTGGAGACGCTCGAGAAGACAGCTACTAATTTATTTTATTCCAATCGTAGTCTGACTGAACTAGAGGATGTTATTAATAATAACCTAAAATTTTTCTCTAACTGGATTATGGCAAACCTGCTCTCATTAAATGCCGACAAGGCAAATTTCATTATTTTTCACCCCCCTCAAAAGTCAACAAGTCACGTAGTCAAATTATTAATTGCCAAAAGGGAGATTAAACAAGAAAAATTTATTAAATATTTAGGATTACATATTGACTCACACCTTAGTTGGAAGTTCCGCATTTTGCATATTAAGCGCTGTATTGGAATACTTTCTAAAATTAAGTACTTTGTTAGCCAACAAGTCCTTGTTCGTATACTACACACTTATTGATCCGTTTTTTACTTATAGCTTAATTAGCTGGGAAAATACATATCCAACTTCTCTACAGCCTCTTACTATTTTACTGAAAAAAGCAGTTAGAATAATAACCTTTTTTGATTTTAACTCTCATTCTAGTCCTCTCTTTCGCAAGTCGTGGCTACTTATATTAAAGGATTTAATATATTTAGACAGTGCTCTTTTTGTGCATTATAGACTTCCACGTACTTTCAATAATTTCTTTAAAAGCATTAATAAAGTATATCAATATGCAACAAGACTGGCCTCTAAGAAGTCTTATTATTTACCGAAAGCTAGGGTGAATTACGGAATATTTAATATCCGTTTCAGTGGGCTTACTCTGGAATGCTATTGAAGATGATCTAAAACCAGCGAGTCGTTTTCGCTTTAAAAAGCTTTTAAAAGAATCTGTCATCTCCAAATATTGATTGGTGTACTTTATATGCAGCTTATTGTGTGCACAGCCGTTGTTTTGTCTTACTTCTTTGTTTATTCGTTTGTGTATTTGTTTATTTATTACAGCTGAAATATTTTTTCTTTGTGTGTTTTTGTGTGTATTTGTTTATTAATAACAACTTTGATATTAGTTACTTTCCCGCATGGCCCAGCCACTCAGCGCGATTTACTTTTGCTATTTCTGATTGGCTGTGCTCTTTCTTTCACAATTATTTACTTTTTATGACTCTACACTTTTGTATCAAGAGCACAATAAAGATTGTTGTGTGTTGTTGTGTACAAGAGTGCGCAGAATACCCGTAATGGCCGCACGAAGTTTCGATGAATACGCTCTGAATGTTGAGTTCACTATTTTACACTTCAAATTTACCTTTTGGTTTGATCCCATTTGCGAGATGTTTAAATCTGAAATATACTTAATTCCAGGCTTTCTACATAAACACAGTGGAGCGATGGGTTAACCTGGTGTCAGACTACGTGATTTTCGAATAATCTTTTTTTCCATACGTACATCTTTTAGGAAAAGATGTAGGCTTATGTTATCTGTTTATTTACCGAACATTTAGCAAATCCGCGGAGAACATTGGCGATGAATTAGGAGAGAGTAATGATGCCCGTTTATAGAAATTTTGCTGATGTATTCTTCCTTTGAGTTTTGTGTCTGGAATATGCCCAATTTTGGAGATAACTTTATTAGACGTGCGTTCATAAAAGCAAAATCAAAATTGATTGCCTCTGCTTTCGATTCGATTAACAATGCAGAACTTGGTATCTTCAGTTAATTCATTCTTCTTTTAAGCTAACAGTTTTCTTTCTTTTCTGACCCACAGCTTATTCACCGAGGCTTTTATTTGTCAATCGAAAGGATATTAGAAAAGTTTGGACGAGTAGCAAGAACCAAAATGAAACTATAATTGTTGACGGTTTGGACGATGCCATCGCAGTGGACTTTCATTATACAAAGGGATTTATATTTTGGACCGACGCTAGCTTGAAAAAAATCAAGCGAATTCGCGTCTCTACAGGAGAAATCGAGGATGTTGTTTCGGTGGGTTTGGTTAAACCCGAAGGACTCGCTGTAGATTGGGTTGCAAGAAAACTGTATTGGACCGATCGTAGAGTTTCTGAATGGGAAACAAGTAGAATAGAGGTCGCGAATTTAGATGGATCTAATCGTAAAGTTCTCTTTTGGAAAGACTTGGGTCGTCCAAGGGCAATTGCTGTCGATCCGTTATTGGGGTAAGTGTGACTAATTTTTCTATTGCTTTATTAAATACATCGAGTTTGGTTGATTGACTATACTTCATGCTGAAATATTCTGCGATTTGCGGAATAGTACTAGTGTTCATGAAATGCTGCTTATGATTTCGAGAAAGGTTTTCCAATGGCTTTCACTTTAAGAGATAAATTCAGGTCGTAAGGATTCAAGAGGTAAGTTAATGAACTATGCACAATTAAAAATACATTAGGTTCTGAGCTTTAGTGAACAAACACTAATCTATCACCATTTTGCTCACTCCACCACTGCATTTTTGTGTAGCTTTTTGCGATTTTCTGCTGGGTTATTAGATACTGAAAAATCTGCTTAATCATAAACATGTAGCTGGAACATATTCCAAGATTTAAGATAAAATTCTGAGCCCTTTAGATCCCTCTCATCATTCATCCTGGAACTTGAAAATACTTTTGTGTTGTTTTTATCTGACCGTCGTGTCATTTTATGGCTTGGAACAATCTTATATTGCACTAAAAAAAGATAGAGAAAATGTTATATTATAATTCTGCAGAGACCGTTTGGTTTTAATTATGTGCTTTGGAAAAATGTTAGTGTGCAATTTTCAGAGGAACAATTAAAACCCTTGAATATTAATTGTGTTTCAAAGAGATTTTTTCCTTCTGTGCCGCTAATGAGTGACTACGGACCTGTGAAACAACACAAGTGGCGGCTTTCCTTTTGCGTCGGAAAATCTTTTAAAGTGCAATATCCATTCACAAGTGTTATCAGGTTCCAAAATGGCGGTCGCTCGGATCGATCTGGGGAGAGCGGCGTGGAAACGAGGCATCGGGGGCCGGCGGCAAGATCATTCTGCGTTTACATATGGTAATCGTGTGCGATCATGCCTCAAAATTGCTCTGTTCCATACTGTACTAAGAAAGTGTATGAGGAAAATGGCGTGAAAATTTCTTTTCATATTAAGTTTCCAGACGACGAAGGTGTGTTCAGGCAATGGATTGTTGCAATACGA